GGCCATCCTCTCGATCCTCCATTTCGCAGCCGTTTTCAGGCACGCTTTGTCGACCCCGTCGGCGCGTTTCTTGCCCTCTGCCCTCCGAACGCGAATGCTGACAACACAAGTCTTGAGTCTCGGTTACGGGAGCTAGTTCTCTCAACGCAATACGCCTCTGAATCTCGCGATGCGCTTTCAGCCGTCTCCATGAGTGTCATCCCTCCTTTTCCGCAGACCGCGCTCCAAAAGCTCTCCGCCCTAACCGCCGCTTTTCCGCCGGGAGCGCTCTCTCCCTACCACCTCGCGCGACTGATGGTGACCCTCCACCCCGCGCTCGTCTATGCGCCAATGCAGGCATGGGCCATCCTCAGCCGTCAGACCGAAGAGATGGGTCTCGGTGTACTCGGCAATCCCATCCTGGCGTTCGAAGATGAAACAGACGACAGGGAAGGCGAGAGTGCCGGTCTTCTCGATTATACCCTTGTCTCCCTTTCACGCCTCTCGCCAACCAGCGCCACCGCAGTCTTCTCGCACCCCTCCCTCCCCAGTGTCTCGCTCACAATTCCCGCCGGACCCGCACCGCTACATCCGTTTCCTTTCACTGGATCAGCCTCCTTCACCCCATCCCTGCGTTTCGTTGGTCTCCTCACGACGCTGATCCAAGCACACGCGCTCGGCTGGGATGTCTCCCTCGTGCCACCCGCCGCTCCAGCGACCGCCAGCAGCAGCACCAGCACGCTCGTGCGCGTATTCGGCGAGGTTCTTGGGTATACCGTGGACAATGTGCATCTGTACAAAGAGCTTGGCGGGCGCGAGCTGCTCATGCGGCGGCGGATTCTTGACGGCGGAGCGACTGCCTGGGATCCTAGGTCGGTTCTTTTGTTGTTGTTGGCGAGGAAGATGAATGATTGATAACACGTTTCATGTGTAGTTCCATTGTCGAGGCGGCGTGGGCGGGGAAGCTTGTGCACCTTTCGGGATTGGACGTCATTGGGCCTACAGCTGGTGCGCTTGCGAGACTAGTACAAGATCGCGAGGCGGAGCTGTGGGATGGCAAACGTATTGTCGCGGAGGCTACTCGTTCAGAGGTAGGTCGATTCACTTTATATTCTCTAGATTGTCGCGTTATACCTTCTTATCCCAGATTGACTCCAGCTCCGGCACGCTCAGCATAGCTCATCCCTCTTTCCGCCTCATCGCGACGGCGTCGAAATCACTTCCGTTAAAAGACTGGCTCTCTGCCGAGCACGCAAACATGTTCTTCCCTGTAGCCGCACAGCCAATGGGCCGCGCCGAAGAAGAGGCCATACTAATTGCCACTGGTTGCAGTCCGTCTGCTATCAAGCGTCTGCTGGCGTTCGCCGAGCGATATCGGGCCAGCATGTCGGAGGACAGTGTGCAGAAGAATAGGAAGCTCGGAACCCGCTCGCTCGTGCGCATTGCACGTCGGATGGCTGCGGTCAGCAGCGGTAAACACGACGCTGGGGCACAAACGGAGCAAGCGCAGGAAGATGATCTGCGATCTGTACTTAGCCGCACTTTATTGCTCGAATTCCTCCCCGCTATGGAACGCTTGAATGTCGAGCAGCTTTTGGATGAGGCGGCAATCCCGCGCCTCGCGCCTGCAGTGAGTGTTTCCTCAAATTTGCCCGCCGCCATTCAATGTCAATCCAACTCCGACGTATAGTACAATCCCAGCCCAGTCATAGAGGAAGATGCCCTTGTTTTTCCGGGCCCGAGCACCACTGGCGGGCCATCGTATGCGACGCGAGTACCGCTGTTCAATGTCGCGGACGACATTATGGGGGTGAAATTGCATGTGCCCTATATGGACCACTTCTACGATAATAGCCTGCAGACGGAGCTCATGCGGGACCTTGCAGTCGATTTGGAGCTGCTCGGTGAGCATGTAGTTCTGCTCGGGAACCAGGTTTGCTTCTAGGATGTGCACTTTTCGTTGTTTGCTGACTGTTGGTGTATAGGGCGTCGGAAAGAATAAGATTGTAGACAGGTAAGCCTAGCATCCCCGTCCTCTTGCTGGAGATTCTAACGGTTTACAGGCTCTGCCAGGTGCTTTGTCCCATTGGATTGATTCCGAAACGGAATACCTCACCTTGCCATCCGTTTAGCTCCTCGGTCGCCCGCGCGAATACATCCAACTACATCGCGACACCACAGTAAACCAGCTCATGTTCACCACCTCGCTGGAGAACGGCGTCATCAAGTACACCGACTCACCGCTGCTTCGCGCCATAGCTTTCGGCCGGGTAATCATCATCGACGAAGCAGACAAAGCGCCTGAACATGTTGTTGCAATCTTCCGCAGTCTTGCCGGCCAGAGTGAGCTTAGTCTGTCTGATGGGCGAAGGGTGCGCTCCATCAAGGAACGCCCGTCCGATATTGTCGTGCACCCGAATTTCCGACTCGTTCTGTTGGCGAATCGTCCCGGATATCGTACGTGGTCTGCCATGCTCGTACGATGAATTTTCTGACGGTGCCGGTGCCACTAGCGTTCCTGGGCAACCACTTCCTCCAAGTTCTGGGAGAAACGTTCAGCGCGCATTCGGTGACGAATCCTGATCAGATTTCGGAGCGTACATTGCTAGGTCAACTGGCTCCCGAGATCGACGACGAACTGATCCTGCGGCTCGTCGGCGCGTTCCACGATCTGCGCAAGGGCTACGACGCCGGCACTCTGAACTATCCGTATTCGCTTCGAGGTATGTCGCGCATTGTCACTCCAGCTGCCTACATTCATTCAAACCGCCGCCCTGCAGAGTTGATCAACCTTGTGAAGCATCTCCAAGCGTATCCGAATGACACCCTTGGCGATGCCCTGCGGAATGTGTTTGACTTTGATGTCTACAAGCCCGAGACAATCGAGCAGTTGGCTGCTATCCTATCTCGGCATGGGTCAGTACCTTCTCTGAGTATTTATGAGTCTGCCTCTCACGATTTCTGTAGGCTTGGAAGCCATGCACCTCATCTAGGTATCGTCGCTGCACGGGAAGCCGCGACTAAGAAGATCAAGGATGCGAAATTCGAGCCGAAGGCAACAGAGCTCGGTGAGCCGAAGGAGGGCGAGCATGATGATAAGGAGCACTCTGGAGGCAACAAATGGGCTGGCGGGGTAAAGTTCTCTCCAGACGTACACAAAGCTGAGCTTACCGGCGATGTAGACGGGAGGCCGCGATACCGCCGGTCTGGGCGGTCGTGGTGGGTACAAACGCTTTTACAAAGGCGGGAATATCAATCAGGTTTGTCTAGAGGCTACTTCACTCGTGCTTCACTCTCAAGAACACGTAGGTTTCCGACGAGCTCAAGAAGCAGGTCCCCGACCATGTTCGAGAGAAGGCGCGTCAGATGGCCCGGGAGGAGCTGCAACGCCGATTGGAAGAGCTCGATATGAGTGTATCGGAGGCAGCGGGATACGGGGAGCTGTTGAATGCGACGCAAGCGCATATGGTTTCTCTATACGATCTGCTAGAACGTACGGGCTCTTCTTGAATCTCGATTTGCGATTGACCTCATGATCATCGTAGATCTCGCGGCAAAGGAGGAGGAGCGGGTTTGGGTTAAGCGGCAGACGGATGGAGAGTTGGATGATAGTCGGTTGACCGAGGGGCTTACTGGTGAATCGACGGTGTACAAGCGGCGGGGAATGGAGAAGCCTGAGTTGGGGCGACCCCAAGTCAAGTATATGGTTTGGCTTCTTCGAAGGAGGCTGACTGCTGATCGTATACCGATAGACCGAAACGGATTCGATTTATATTCGATCTCAGCGCATCGATGTATGTTCGCCCTTTCACATGCAAGTTTGGGATTCACGACCGTGTCGTCTAGGTACCGCTTCCAGTATGACGGGCGCTTGCAGCGGAGTATCGAGACAGGTATGCCATGTACCTGTCTGCAGCTGCGTGTCCATGGCTGACCGTGCTTGATATAGCCGTTATGCTCATGGAGACATTCGACCGTCTATCCCGCAAGGAGAAGTACGTCTGGGATGTGAGTGATCTTGCATGCTTGTGTTCTTGATGTCTCAAGCGATACAGATGTATGGCCATTCCGGGGACGGGGCTGACATAGCGCTTGTCTCTGAATTGAAGCCACCGACAGATATGAAAGATCGGTGCATTCGTTTCGACCTCGATCTGTATTTACGAACTGAGAGAGACATTCAGCTGGAAAGTGGTGGAGAAGATGTCGATGATACCTCAGTATGCATTTGCGGGCGACTATACAGGTTCGGATACCTCCCTGCGCTATCAAGAGACCGGCTGACAGTCTTGTCATTGTAGTTGAGGCAATTGAAAAGGGTGTCAAAGATGTAGCCGCTTTCGATGCTGGTAAGTGTCCGACCGTTCTGTACCTGGAGGCGACTGCTCACTGTCCGTCCAAGACGATTGGTTTGTGATCGCAATAACGGTAAGAACACAACCACTCCTCCTCCTCTTCTGTCACTCAATGCAAATGCACAGGACGCAAATTTCGGGAGGTACATGATCAAGCCGGAGGATCTCAGCCGCGCAATGAGACGCGACCCAAAGGTGCACACTGCACTCATCTGCATCGGGGAGGGTGCCGAGGCTACTTGGTGGGTGGCTCCCTTGAATTCAGTCTCGCGTTTGCTGAGAGGCGCCGCGAAAAAACAGGATACCTAAGAGTCTTCCGGGTAAGGGATTCCGGGTTACGAATACAGCAGATATCCCCACCGTGTTGCGGAGTATTCTGTCCACCATGGTTGATAGATGAAGTCTGTAGAGGAGGAGACGAAAGTAGATTATTAATAGATTTTACTGTGAATCAAGTGAATGCTACTCTAGTGAAGAAGCAGCACGTCGATACAGGTTGAGGTTGGGAGGATTAGAGACAACGAGTTGCCGACAACTCAGGCAAGGACAAAGAAATTTAAGTCAAGCCTTTTTCGAGGCAAAGGCGTGGGGGCCATGTACATACTTAGAAGCGTCGCATTTATGGTTCCTGACGGTCTATATGTACCATTCCTCTATAGTTTGCATGGTTCAATAGTGTAGTCGGTTTATCACGTCTGTCTCACAATGCAATTCTGGGTCACAGGAGGTCCCCGGTTCGAGCCCGGGTTGAACCACTTTTTGCGTCATTCGCTTTTTTATGCTGCTACAGTATCTCCAAATATTCCGTTGCTTTTACCTTCTGTCATCTCCAAAGTTCCGCATCCTGCATCCCGAATAGTAATACACACCTGCGTGCTCGAGAAGTTTCCGGTTCGAATCCGGCTGCGAAGACTCTCGTTCTACGCTTCAAATTACCAAGTTCCCAGAGCAACAGTTCTTTCGTGTCTTTTTTGCTCAGCTTGAGCTTCGCTCGTATGACACATGCCTCGTGGGCCAATGCCGACGAAAAACGCGTCCCCTCGCATAAATAAACGCGCTTTCAATTGTGCTGTTTCCGATTCGCTGCGGAGTTTGAAACGCACAATGTTTGCCCAAAATGGAAGTCTCCAAGCCGTCAAAAATCTCTTTCCTTCCGCCACCATGTCGCCTTCCTCCTCCGATTCAAATGCTGCGCCTTCTGTGCCCCTCTCACGACCAGAGAACCCACAAAATGCCAATAAGCCACCAGTTTGGGCCATTGACTCTGTTGCTCCTACTTCTCAGCCAATTCCCACCGCACGTTGCTCGCGCCATGTTAGACCCGACGGTGTTTGCTGCAAAGAACTCAAAGGCGACGAGCGTACTCTCATCGACCCAGATGTCATCCGCGACGTGTAAGTGTTGAGCGCAAGCGTTGACCATTCGCTCAGACTGATTCACTCCACCCAGCGTCATCGGCCTTTCCGACGGTCTCACGGTACCTTTCGCGCTGACCGCCGGCCTCTCGTCCCTCGGTGAATCCCGACTCGTCGTTCTCGGAGGCGTCGCAGAACTCATCGCGGGCGCCATTTCCATGGGTATCGGCGGCTTCCTCGCATCCCAAGCCGAGCGCGACCACTACCGCTTCCTCCGCGACTCCACCGCCGCGCGCGTCGTCCGGAGCTGCGACGGCGAAATGGAGCGGGAGGTCGCGGAGGTGCTCGCCCCCATCGGCGTCGACGAGCGGACATGCCGCGCCGTCGCCCGCTGTCTCCGCGAAGTCGAGGTCCCCAACTCCTCCTCGAATCCCATAACGACCCACGATCTAGAGTCGAACGATTCCTTGCGGTGGAGCAAGGAGGTCGGTCTCACGCCTTTCCTGCTCAAGTTTGGTGCGGGACTCGAAGAGGTGCCGACGAGCCGGCTATACGTCTCTGCATTCACCATCGGCATGGGATACCTCATCGGCGGCATCATCCCCCTCATCCCGTACTTCTTCATTCCCCGCGCACACGTCGCGCTGCTGTACAGCGCCATCGTAACGGGTATAGTTCTCCTGGTCTTTGGGGCCGTCAAAGCGCACATCACTGGTGCTGGTGTCGGTACGGGCGGATATGTCTGGGGTGCATTCAGCACGTTGTGTGTCGGAGGTGTGGCGGCGGCGGCGGCGTTTGGAATCGTTAAGGCGCTGGAAGGTGGTGCGTAGCGAAAATCACTTCAATTCTTTCGATTTGTATCTACTATATAGTATATTGTACTGTAACTCCATAGCATAGAGGTTTCTTGGAACTAGCGTTTATCCAATGTATCTGTTTTTTCCGCCCTGAATTGGTCAAAACTACTTGAAGGTCACCCGCCTTCGTTTAACGTCCCGATGCCTCGTCGGTCCATCCAAAGGACCGACATTCCCAGATTCCAAAGAAGACCAGCCGCACGAAAGCCCTAGATCACTACGTTCCTCGAACCAAAATATACCACGCTACACACTCAATGGCTCTGCACATTGTGCTGATGCGTAATCGGCGTATCCTGCAATTTTCTGATATGAGCACACACGAAAGCTCCAAAATAATAAGCATATGTACTCACCTCCATCACCTCCTGCGCACTCTCCTCCTTCAGCCTCATCACGTCTTTCGGCAAGTCTCCAATTTCCTTGTTCATCGAATGCGCGAGAGCTTCCATCCGCTTCAGCGCTCTGATTCCGAATTGCGCTCTTTTCCCTGCAGAAGCCCAAGTGAGCGTCGGCGAAACTGATGTTGGTATACATGCGGGAGGATCGTACAAGCCGACTTCGCGTTGAACGCTCGCTTTACATGAGGCAGCAGATTCGTGGGTCCGCCACTAGGATTGAACGGGTCGCGGACGAAGTGTGGTGTCGCTGCAGTGAGCCACTAGAGAGAGAGTACCAGTCAGCATATGTTTCTCCTTAGCAGATCATACGCGACATACCCTATGCTCCAGCGCCTCCGCCGCCGTCGGCCTACTTGCAGGGTCGATGGTCAGACACGCCTGCACAAACTCGCGCGCTGTAGGCGACACATTCGCCCAAAACTCCGCCGGCTCAAACCTCAAATCCCCCGCAACAATCGCAGCGGTTTCAGCCTCAGGCGTGTCGCGATCGAACGGGGTGTACCCCGCAAGCAGGAAATACGTGATAACCCCCATAGCCCAGACGTCTACGGGCTTTCCGTGTCCCGCTATAAATTCAACGCTTCCGTTCAGTAACCCGCTCGTATTGGAGACTGAGGAGAGGAAGGAGGAGGATGGAGAGGACACCCACCATCGCGAAACACCTCCGGTGCCATATACCCCGCCGTCCCACACACCCCCGTAAGCAAGGTCATTCTCTCCTCATCCATAATCCGGCTCAAACCAAAATCCGCAATCATGATGTTAGCGTCCTCGGCTTCAGTTTGGAAGAGTAGGTTCTCGGGTTTGAGGTCGCGGTGGACGATTCCGCAGTCGTGGATGTATTTGACGGCGGCGAGGATGGTGCGGACGAGGGCGGCGGCATCGCTGATGGTGATATAGGATGAAAATATAGATATGAGTGAGGAGAGGATGGGGAGGAAGAGGGACGACGGACGCTTCATAATAATTCCCCTTGGAACATATCCGATGGAAGAGCTCGCCGCCGGTGCAGAGGTCGAAACATAGGTACAAGTTACGATGTGTCTGTGTCATGTTTTTGTTCAGCAACGGTTGGTCATGTATCGTTCTGAAAGCGAAGACGAACCTCAAAGTAGTCGTGCAGCGTTACGATGTTCGGATGTCGACTGGATATACGTTGCAGGACGGCAATCTCGTTTCGCACCTGCAGAAAGAAACCAAAGAAACCGCTTGAGTGAGCTTCTCTTGGGGTAAGACGACGTGCACACCAAGTACTCCCTCCCTTCGATAAATTGCTTGTTGATGATCTTACATGCGTACTTCTGTTCCGTCTCAATATGCGTGGCCTCGCGGACGACAGCGTACGTCCCGCTACCAAGTGTCTTCCCTGTTTTATACTGTGCTCGGGGTCAGTGCGTGAGACTCAGGATGAAGGGGATACAGACTTGACAGGGTCGAATCGCCGTGTTCTGCATGGTGAGCGAAAGTTACAAGAGACAAGAGCAAGACAGGACCACGCGATGCGGATCGGATAAGACGATGAGAAAGACGGGCTCAGCTAATTTTACACAGGAAGCAAATTGGATTCCGAGAGGGTCGGGAAGAGAAGATGCAATGACGGCAATATCTGAGCGGAGCGCTTCGTGAACGTCCCCGCGATGCATCAAAGACCGTGGAAGTAAACAGGGACCCAAGTGATATTCGAACTCTGACTGTGCGCTTGTCAATGGCGAGCGCTTGGAACGGAGAACCTGTTTAGAACACTAGCAATAGCAAAGAAAAGACCCAAGACAGAGTCCAATGTTGACAGGGAGAGTCCGAAAGCGCAGCTGCTCCCCAGGTAGATATTCTCTGAGAATCGAGCACGACCTTCAGCACCCACGAATTCGATACGGCGGCCACGATGGGAGAGAAGATATATTTGCCTAAGAAGGAAGTCCGAGCGGTGATTACCCGTACCTCGCCTTGACCTCTGTCTGCAAGAATTCTTCCACTGCGCTCAGCTTCACGCCCAAGGCCACGAGATCCGGGTTGGGAATTGGGGTCTCTGTGTACAATCCAGAATATTCGGCGGCAGCCGACCACTGGAAGAGTCGCGGTCAATCGAAGCTCATGTAATCGCGATCGACTGGGGCTACCCACCATCTGGTCGACAGGGGCTAGTCCCGTCGGGGGGCCGGCAACATAGCTGACCTCCTTCCCAATGACTAGAAATACTATCAGTGAGAAGTGACCCATGAGAGTAGCAGCCCCGCCTCACCTTGCGCCGTCATCTCAGCGAGCTTCGCGTACGACATGCGAGCATTGACCACGGGGTAAGCTCGGCCGTTGATCTGCTTCGTTGGGTCTGTGTAGTGCTTGAGCAGACCAAGGACTGCAGCAGGGATATCTCGCGCGACCCAAGCAAAAGCTTGGAGGTCATCAGCCTTGTAGTTCGGTACCGACACCTGATATCCCCCGGTTCCGGTGGGCGTCAAGGCTTTGAGTCTGGGTGCGAGAGTAAGTATATAGAGGATCCTACGCATGACGGGCCTCACTTCCAGTAATTCTCGAGAAATGCGGGCATCAGGAGCGACGCGTTCGAAAGCCCAGACGCCTGGAGGTATTCCTGTATTGTTTCTTTGTCTGCGAAGAAGTCATGTAAACCAAGGATTCAGTCGAGGTCGACGGAGGCTCACCATCGTAGTGACCGCAAGCTGTGTATTTGCCACCGCTTAGTTTCGTCAAATTGGGAACAGACCTGCGACAGCATTGATCAGCGATAGTCCGGTAGGGCCACTGCAACCGACACGAACGAAAAGATGAAGAACTTGACACCAGCCTCTTTGGCTGCGTCGACCATATTCTTTCCTTGCTTCGCCTCTCCTCCTTCATCTTCTGTCAGCAGAGGGTGGCTTGCATCTCCCGTCCACACAGGCAACGTCATCTGTCAGAGAAATAACATCAATGTCCGAGTGACCTCAGAAATCCGACCGTCCATACCCCGAAAACAGCCTCGCTCCCGCGCAATGCGGCAACTAGACCTGCCTTGTCAGCAGCGGGATCCCCTTTGACAACCTCAATTCCCCGAGCTCTCAGTTTCTTGCATGCTTCTGAATCGGGATCGCGCGAGATTGCTCGAGGCACGAATGTGCCATCCTTAATCAACGCGTCTATGACTGCA